CACCCCCCCGTCCCCTCCCCCCCCCCCCCGCCCCAAAATAAAATATCACACAAGTAGTGATTTGTGAAATGGGGTGGAAGTACTATTGAAGAAAATGTTTGTGAATATGATGTGATGATACTGAGGATTATAGTACAAATGGGGGCTTTTTCAGTAAAGTCCTGAGAGGCCCATACGACAATTATGAAAAAACAAACAAACCCCGATTAGATGATTGCGATGATTAGAATTGCACGTCAGTGATTCCAAATGGAATAGCCCCACACATTATACTGCAAAAAGATAATCAGTGACAGAAGAATGGTCCTTTAAAGTAAAAACATCATACAATGAACTTAAAAAGGATCTTGTTGATGGTATTTATCACCGGGAGGGGCAAATGCTTGCCCACTTGTATTGTGGTGATCCTCCTCAGTCACTCAGCCATTCTTCCAAATACCCCAAGACCATTGACGAATGAGCTTAAAGTCAGAAGCTCACCCGGGAAGGACGCCTGACGCGGCTTCCGAGCGCCAGCCGCTCACAGCTCGACGTGTCTCGTGCGTCCGACCGCCATCACCTTGGACAGTTGAGCCTTGAACTTGCCTTCAGTGTGGGTCACTGCGGGGTCACAAATGAAGAGGAGATTATTGATTAGGGCAAACACGACGCGGCCTTTGGTGCTCAACTCGAGATGGTTTTTATGGATATGCTCTTTTAAAAATATTAAAATGTGAAAAATAGTCATTTACACATCATTACACATTTTATAGTACACCGACCTCTCATGCCACCCCACCAGGCCCCGCCTCCTAAGCTAACACGCAGACGCTATATGTTCTGTACTTTCTTCAATTTATTGAAACATATTTCTAATGTGTTTTTTAAAGGGGAAGTGAAGTCCAAAATGTTCTGCACAGTCATGTGTTCTGCGCGCCACCGCCAGTATAAACACGACATTCTGATTCGTGTTGCGTTTGTGGAAAATCAATTAAGCAGCAAAATCCACCTGTTTTTATTCATCTCACGGTTTGGCCATTTTGCCATTTGCTCTCAAGTGAAAATAGCATGACAGTGCCTAAGTGATGTCATTTTTCAGTCGACAACGAGTGGCAAAATGGCTGCCTCGCTCTTGCTCCTAAGATGCATAAAATTGGATGGATTTTGCTGACTAATTCATAGTGTACAATTGCAATATTAATCAAAATCCAGCGTTTTGTGTCCATTTTAATCCTGTTCATTTATTTTAGTAGTTCAATTCAAAAAGTGAAACGCATACAGATTTATTAAACAGATTGAAGAGTACCTTTAATAAGTACAGGTCCAAGAATTTAAAATATTCAAATTTCTTGAGTGGGTTAAACGTGTCTAAGTGCTAATCATTCAAAATTGTGTGTGTGTGTGTGTGTGTGTGTGTTTAGTAATTGTACACTACCGATTTCACTTTTTGAACTACTGAAATCCTAATTTCTTGATATGCACGCGTGGTGTCGGAAGTTTAACACTTCCATATGTATGTGCCAATTACAGAGGGATGCACGGATGCAGACCATACTCATTGACCACAGTTGTAACGTGGCTACGTGCTCTCCATTTTGGCAAACACACAGGGATAAACATTCAATGTCAGAGATGACAAACGTCAAACCTTTCCTTCCCTGGAGAAGCTACAAGGATGTCAACTGAGTCTAAGAGTGACTCAACAGTGCTACCTTTTGGGAGAATCTACTACAGCACTAAGTAACCTTATGTAAGGCATCTCCCTGAAAACCGAGGACCCTCTCTAATTTATTTATGTCCGTGACCCACCAGTTGAGATTGACTGCATTCGACGCATTTAATTATCTGCTGTAGTGCAGCCATCCTCAGACAGACCAAAAATTGGATCATTCTCGGGTCTGGATGGTTGTTGGTTTTAATTAATTGACATTCTGGACAGCAAACAAGCCAGAAATGTTGATTAAAGTGAATTCTAATGTAGTCTGCTCACATGAGAGATGGGGGTGACCTCGACGCAACAAGCCCTGGGAGATGATTAAAGCTCACCTGCAGACTCTTCGATGGTGTATTCCTCTGAATTAAGCTCCACATCACGCTGTCCTGCTGCCATTGCCACTTGCGACTGGAAATATACACACACACACACACACACACACACACACACACACACACACACACACACACACACACACGAATATGAAGGAAAGAATAGGAAGAAGAGGTTGAAGACTTGACAACAAGATCAAGGGGATGCTGCATGGGGCTTTTGTGTCCTCATTTAGTAATGTATTTTTTGCATATTTGTGTGTGTGTGAAGCAGGTGGAGGGAGCGCCAAGAGAACATCCTTAATGTTGGAAGGAGGCGTGGCCACAACAATCGCTCAGGAAGACAGTCCAAACACAACCTGCCCTCCATGAAACCAAAATAAAAGTTTCCACCTTTTATTTTTTGCCTCCCTCTTCTCTCCTCTGTCTGATGTCATGTTTTTGTTTGGGATGTGTGGTGGATACAAGCCCAATGTAGATAAAATAAGTTTCCATGGAGACAAATGGTGGACAATAAATTGCAAAATGAAACAATAAATCGAAGGGAAAGGAAAAAAAAAAAGTGGTGGTGATATTGTGCGTCATTCCATTTGGCTCAGCAATGTTGACGACAACCCATTTAAAAAAAAAAAAAAAAAAAAAAAAAGTGGTGGTGATATTGATATTCCATTTGGCTCAGCAATGTTGACGACAACCCATTAGAATCTTCATCTTATCACACCTCAAAAATGAATGACCGGTATGAAAAACAGTGTGGTTTACAAATAGTGCATCTCTGGTTAGGAATACAATCTGATTACCTGGATATCATTTCCCATATTTTACGGTCCACAATAAAGACAGCAGAAAATGTCTCGCTGTGTTTAAATGAAAAAAAAAAAACACACAGTCTGGCCCCAACGTTCAACCGCACAATCAAAAGGACTGACTGAACCAAGGCACACATTTTGCATGAGTAAAATCTCACAGCACACCACCAAACAAAAATGTCACAAAAACTATTTGGGATAGTCCGCCAATCACTGTCATTTGCCTCCTCAGGAAAGAAAAGGTGTATAGGCACCATAAAATGAACTGCTAAAATCTCAGCAAAGTCCTCTTACCTAAAAAAAAAAAAACCCACACACGTTACAAAATAACACTAACCTGTCCATCCAACAACAATGCAGCGGACGTGTAGTCCGAGCACTGATTGCAATAAAATTTGTCATGTCATAATAAAGTCATTAGTGGAGAAGCTTCGGATGATTTAAATTACCGGGTACCCCATTTCATGGGCAGCTCACAAAACATGTATTAGTTTCATTACACACTTGATGACTGGACAGGTATTCCGCACACCAAAAGTAAAGAGAAAAGTCACTTTTCCACAAAACGTCTCACTGGCAGTGTTAATCAAAACTGAGCATGGCTATCTTGTATTGCATCTCATAATATTTGTGCAGATGGACATTGACTCCATGCGCTTGCAAGAAGCAGTGTGCATGTCAAAAGTGGCGGGTGTGGGGGAAACAAAAAGTCACTTTTTTTCCCAAGATATTGTCAGCTCAGCTTTATGAAAGCCAAACTTAGGCAAGCGTAGGGCGCAGACATCCTGAGGCTTGTACTGCCAAGCTGGAGGCATCCTTATTTACGGACTACACCAAGACATTTTTTGAAAAGTTCGTTCTCTCTGCCGCTTTGCTTTGATTATGTGACATTTGTGCCGACTCTGTACTTTCCAAACCTCCTCGAGAGTGCGGGGAAACACTTTGATCAGCACAATGACAGGGGCAGTGAGGTTGTGGGTGCATACAGAGAACATCCGAGGTAATAGCAAGTCGAAACTGTCGCCGGGGCTCGTGTCTTTGCGATGGCGCCAACTTTTTGCTGTCCGACATCAGTGCCGTGCCAACTGATCACACGTTGAGAGCAAATAAAAGTAGAAGGACCATATTGTGTTATATTTGTTGTTTTTACAAAATTTGTTCTGTCTCTGGAGAGTGTGACCACAAATCAAGAGTGAAACGATCATGCCGCTATCTGAAAATGTATCTGTTGTGGTAGCCGTTAGGTACTTACACCCTAATTTTGTTGGTCGTTTTGTTGGATGTACAGTTTAGCAGGACCTAACAGTCATAGCTTCTGACAAGTCAAAATTCTTTCATTGACTTTATGGGCTCTTGCTGATTTCAAGAGAGGGTGTGGAAAGTGTGCTATAATTCCGAGGATTCGTGTTTGTGAAAATGAAAAGACATCCATGATGACACAAAGTGGTTTGTTCATACTTACGGATGCATTTGCATATTCAACTTTGGCTCCCTTCATCTCCATTTTGAACGAGGTGAAAAACAAGTATGATTTCCCTGTGGGCCTTTGCAGACAAAACAAACAAAATCATTAGTTGTCATGCATATTAATTAATTTGCATACATTCATTCCTGTAACTTGGGATGGACATTGTAGCCGATTAATTGATCGTTATTTGATCGCCTGTGTGGAATTGTTTGGTGATGAATCATGCCCTGAAGCAATTGAAGCAAAATGGAGCGTACTACTTGTTAATACACCCTTTGAGAACAAAAGAAGAATGACATGGTGTCGCAAAGGCGTGGTGTAGGCCTTAGACCTCCAACAATTCAATTTCTTATAGTCCAATATCGTTTTTTGTTTTATAAATGAATTGCCCGGCCGAGCCAATCAGATGCCGGTAAGATGGCGTTGTCCATATTGACCGATGAGAAGCTCTGTACTATCAGCGATCGCCTGGCACAATACAAATAAAATACAAATTTTAACAACTACAAAACACGCACATCGCCGACGCATAATATTGTGAGCAACGTTGTTATATGTGTATTTCCCCTGCTGAGAAATCCAATGTAGTGACATGTAGTCACAAGACATGCGGTCGAACTTGTGTTTCAGTGGCAACATTTCAAATGCAGTCAGGACGAAATTGCACAAAGTTATGTGCAAGCACACGCTGCAGACAGCCAAACCAAGGGTGACAAACAATGGAGTTTCCATCATTCTTGCTATGCCAAATTACAGCTACAAGTGTTGTGAAAGCGCGATATGAATGAAGATATATTGTATTCAACTGACAAGCAGCATGTTTCAGCAGGTGCAAAAACGTGGAAATACTTCAAGTCATGTCATCAGTACAGGTAGGTATAGTTTTTCCTGTTGTTTTTCTTCAGCTCAAGCATTTAAATCATTTTAATTATAGTGTATTGTTCAGACATATACTGAGAGAGAGTTCCAACCTCTTATTTAGCGACATATTTGTGTGTATGTACTGCAAAGTGGTAATTAGGTAAATATTTCATAGAACTTAGGTTGTATAACACCTTATTCAATGATATAAGATTTTGTTTTCTTTTTTTTCATAAAAATGAAATGAGAATTCTTAAGTAGCATGTGTTTTCAGTGTTTAGGATCATCAGTGTACCTCATTCAATGATATAAGATTTTGTTTTCTTTTTTTAATAAAAATGAAATGAGAATTGTTAAGTAGCATGTGTTTTCAGTGTTTAGGATCATCAAAAATATTCAAGAATTACAAAAAACAGCAAATTTACTGGTCACACATTTGGTCAAAAACGTAGTTGCACTGTCTTATATTTTAGTGAGAAATTGCCACCATTTAGGACAGCAAATTTACTGGTCACAAATTTACTGGTCTTATATTTTAGTGAGAAATTGCCACCATTTAGGAGACTGAACCTTGTACAACATTTGCATGTTGCATGAAAAATAACTATTGGAGGGATACAGTATACATTTGGACTGAACCTTGTACAACATTTGCATGTGTGAAAAATAACTATTGGAGGGATACAGTATACATTTTGACCAGTGTGTTTGCATGGGCATGTGAGGACAAATGGCATTACTGCCACCTACAGGACTAACGCTGTGTGCTATGAGTGCGAACTTTTCCAGTTACTGTACTGTTATGTGGTGGGTCGTGTGCATGCGTACGCGTGTTGGTCTCACCTCCACACAGAGCAGGAAAAATGCCGGTTGTCTTCATCAAGGCCCACACTCATGAGCCATTTCTAGAAATAGAGAACGACAGAGGTCAGCACTCACAAGAGCTGCAATTTTTTTGTGCGTGTGTATGGGGGTGGAGGTTTTGTGAAACTAACCTCATTGGTTCCTCCTTGTGCACTGAATGAGAATGCGCATTCATACTCCCCCTGGAAAAAAAAGCAGAATGTTGACACACCTTCAGCTATATTCCATCAACTATGTCTTCTCGCCATTCATGTTCAGTTCATAACTGCTAAGTGCCATTGAAGCTGCAAATTCGTTGGTGTGACTAGTTCATACATTTATAAATTTTCAGATAGCGGCATGATTGTTTCACTCTTGAAGGGTGGTCAGACCCTCCAGAGACACAACAAATTTTGTAGAAACAACAAATATAACACAATATGGCCCTTCTATTTTTATTTGCTCTCAACGCATGATCAGTTGGCACGGCACCGATGTCGGACAGCAAATTCATTGGTATCACATTAAAGTATTTATCCAGCAAATGTGCAAATCTATAATCTCACTTAAACTATGTTACTCAATAAAATTGAATTATTAAAACAAAATCAATTGTATTACAGTCCAGCTTGGAATCATGTTGCTCTCCAACAAGCAATAAGCAATGCAATTATCAGTGCAACAATCCTGATAATTAGGGCTGTCACTATAGAATTTTTAGAATCAATTATTCTTTCGCTTTATTAATTGAATAATGGGACAATTTTTTATTTTGCACTAAAGTGTATTACGAAATAATTATTATCGCAATTAATGTTAGATTAGAAATAAAAGATACTGTACAAAATGAATTCTTGCGCTTAATGTCGGTTTCTTGATCAGCAGTTTTGTTCCGTCCTTGAAAGGTAATTTTTATGCAAGAGAACCCTTTGCACTAGGGAAAAAATATAGTATAAGGTTATTTTGTTTGCTTCAGACCCTTTGTTACTGAGTTAGGATAGGGGCTCTTTTACACATGCATTGAAAAATGTACAATCAAAGTGAAATATAATATATAATAGCATGTACTTTGCACGTATGCAATATTAACATCTCCGTGGTTTGGAAGTGCGTTGTCCAATGAATGGCGCCTTTGTAGCAGCCAGCAACGTGTCAGTCGGTCATTTGCTCTAACGTCATCAAAACGCGACATATTTTAGTTTGATGCCCCCCTTGAAGTGGAAACTGTGACACTTGGGCTAATTAATGCCGACATTAAAGCGTTTAAATTAAAAGTGAAGAAAACATCCACTGAAGCGCTTGGTGAGCACTTTAGCCTCAGAAAATACATTAAAGTATCATGCAGAAAGCTAGCCAAGGTTTATGCACATCGATATAACGGACGTCCGGCCTTTCTGGAAAGCAGCGCTTATCCCTTACGTTTAGCAAGACAATCAATCACACACACAAAAAATGAAACCGCTAAATGACATGTAAACAAAGAAAAGCAGACAGTGGCTACTGTCGTGTAACAGTGATAACACAGGTAAACTGACATCGTTTGAAAATGACACATGAACAATAAGCAACATTACAGGAAATGGTTTTAAGCAAATGCGCGCTGGGCGACTGAGTCGTTCTTACATGAAAATACATACAATTGACTCGGTGAAGGTGTACATCGTCCCTCCCGGTCTCACGTCAAACTCCACCGTTTTCGTTTGTTCGTCCGAAGCATGAGCCCGATACTCAGACAGAAGCACCACTAACAGAAGACAAGCTGTCAGGTGAGCAACACGAAACTTCTTTGTCGTTGCCATTCTTGCATGTGTGTTTAGTCAAAGTAACTGTGGAGATGGTAAGACGAGTTTGTCCATGATATGCGTGGCTTCTTCTGCTGTTTCTCGTTCGCGACTGTCAAACTGTTTTTTCTGCTCATGGTCGCCACCCATTGATTGCTGCTGAGAACTGCAGTTGTCTTTTTTTCAGCTCCTTTACCAACATTTGACACAATTAAAAGGTTTTTGTTTACAACACTGCAATATTTGAATGGTTAAAAAAAACTACATAAAAAGCTCCAAAATCATGAAAAGAACCAAACCATTGCCTCCATTCTGAAATGCTTCTTTGTTAAGCATCTCTTTCTTAGGCCAATTGCACCGGCTAGCCACTGGTGTGAATCAAGTGAATATAGTGGGGCATAGGCTACTGCCAGATGCCCAAGTTCGTCACTGGGCGTCGTTTTAACTGCGCCCCCAAAAATCAGGAAGACTGAAATAGTGACAAATAACTGAACGCTAAAGAGCACTATTTTTGTGCCCAGCGCAAAGTGCAGTCTGGGTGGAGTTTTCTTTCTTTTGGTATTTTCATGGATGGGCATCGGGACAAGGGGGTGTTTGTGCACCTTGTCAGTCGTCAGGCACATTTACACAAAAAACAATTCAAACCCACATTCACGCATACAGACAGTCTTCGATGAGCCTGACATGCATGTCTGCGGAATGGGAAGGGAAGCCTGAGTGCCAGCAGAAAACCCACGCAAGCGCAAGGAGAACGTGCAAACTCAACAGAGGAAGGCCGCAGCCGAATTTTGAACCCGAAACCTCAGAACTGTTAGGCAGACGTGCTGACCCCTCGGTCACTGTCTGTGAATAGCATATGCCTACAAACAAAACTATAACTTATGGCAACTTATATATATGTTTGCTGTACTAATACTGCACCCCCATCTTTGCACAGTAAAGCAAAACAGCAGGCAAAAATAGACACTGTCTTGTCACTGTTACTACATATCAGCATGTGTGTGTATGTTTACACACATGTCTATGGAGCCATAAAACATCCTCCCAGCAACATGTGACAGATGAACATATGTCTGGCCCAAATCGACAAACCTCAACATTGTCTGACAGCCATTTGTGAAGGCTGTGAACACAACAGGAACATTAAAAATAAAAGTGTCTGTACAGTAAGTCGCCTTCCCTTGTTTGTCCTCCTGTTGTTCACTGGGTTCCTCTCTGTCCTACCACAATTCACAAATGTTCACTGGGTTCCTCTCTGTCCTACCACAATTCACAGGATCAAAATATGACAATAATAGCATTACAAAAAAGAGCCGTCAATGAGCAGACATCCACTAAGAGTGTGGACCTTATGAACTAAAAGAAAATAAGTTAAAAGTTAACATTTGGTACTTTTCAAAAAGATTGTGATTATTTTCACACTTTTTTAAAAATGCCGTTTTGTTTGTTTGTTTTTTTAAACAGGGCCACAGTTGCTGATACAGCTTTACAATTTATTTCCCCTTCTATAATGCAATTGCGATTTAATGTACAAGTTTTTAAGGTCCTCTCCTCATGTATTTTTTTAATAAGCACAAGCAATAAATTAATCTATATTATGATAAGCAATACAGTATTGTGTTTATTGTTCATAAATGTTTTGATCAAAATAAATGCACTGCGCTTGGATATGTTCACCTAAATATTGTTTTTTTGTTTGTTTGTTTTGCAGTGTTTTTCTCACAGGCTTGTGGAGAAAACGACAACGTCAGTGGGCACACGTTCTTCTATTTTAAACAGGGAACAACATGCCGGGCCACTGACATGAACGAGTGCCACATGCGAATGGTTTCCTCTCGCAGGATGTCGGAGGCAGAGAAACATATTTGTTCATTCGCTCCACACTCACCCGAACACTAACTTCTTCTCCCGACTGCAAACAAACCATTTGGGATAGGCAAACATATGCAGTGCTTTCAGACAGAGCAACAGAGCATTTCGCTAATGACGCTCATTTCCCAGACTTTGAGCACACACTGGGGATGTGAAAGAAATGTCAGCATGTCTGTGTGGTTATGTGTCAGCACAAATACATTCAGCTACTTAAATAGTTGTAAACAGCACCAGAGGAAGGAAACTTCTAATTTACAGTCTTGACTTAACCAACCATCCATCTTCGATATCACTTATCTTCACAAAGGCTGACTCCCTGCACAGGTTGCAGAGCAGTTGAAGGGCACATTTCGACAAACAGCTATTCCTACCGTACTTACATTTACACCCATGGACAATTTGGAGAAAAGCCAGACATGCGTGGGCGGGAGTAATAATTTAATGTTTCCATGTTTTGATTATCATTTACATCAGGGATGGGCAAGTTAAATGCTGGAGGGGGCTACAAAGGAAACATTCATTCATTCATTTTCCGAAACCACTTTATCCTCACAAGGGGGGTGCTGGAGCTTATCCCAGCTGTCTTCGGGCAGTAGGCAGTGGACACCCTGAACCGGTTGCCAGCCAATCGCATCAGCCTGCCGTGCATGTTTTTTTGGAATGTGGGGGGAAATTGGAGGACCCGGAGAAAACCCACGCAAGCACGGGGAGAACATGCAAACTCCACACAGGAAGGCCGGAGCTGGAATTGAACCCGGTACCTTTGCACTGTGAAGCCGACGTGCTAACCACTCGACTACCGGCCGCCCTACAAAGGCCTACAGAAAAGCTAATTAAACACATGGTAGAATACTTATTGAACTTTGTAATATGTGTAACATATGTGTACGGTGCCCAGGAGGACTTTTCTCTCAGAGTGGCGAGTTGTTTTATACCAAGTAATTCGTGAACGATTAAAAGACAATTAAAGCAAAATGTAATCTACACCATTTGTAATTTAATTTAAATTGTTGGTTTGTTTTGTTTTGTTTTTCTGATGGCAAAAGTGGTGGCTCCAGTCTTCAGAATGTGGAAATTGGGATTAATCTAAAACACACCTTTGCATCAGTTCTCTATCATCCGTTATGAGTTTGTCTTTAGCAATTATTTACTGGTTCTGATTCATATCAGCCTTAACTTAGCATCTCGTTGCCTATTAGCATCAACTAGGAAGTACTTATGCAAACAAAATGACCCCTCAGGTACAGAGAGGACTTCTGACGTTGTTGCATCACTGTTGGCTCTGACACTTGTTGACTGCGAGCTCTTCGCGCACGTCAAGATAAGCACACCATGCTGACGTACATGTTTCGCAGTGCTGCTTTCCCCTCTTGGCCTGCAGATCTGTGAAATGTCTCTACCTCTTGCCATTTGGGGTGGTGAAGGAATGCTGACAGGCATTTCTGCCCATCCCTCACGCCCTGCAGGCTTAACAAGACGACTTGCTCTCAGCAAACATCTCCTTGAGGGGAAAAAGACGAGGGATCTGTGTTCCAGTCTTTCAAGATTCACCCTTGCACGGGCAGAAGCATCAGGGTGCAGTTAGGCGCAGAAGTGCTTGCACTATGATTTTATTTTTTATTTTGTAAGTGCAAAGGTCAAACTAAATTTTACGCTGGGCTGATAACTCATATATTCCAAAAAAAAAAAATTCTTTCAGATTAATGATGACTGAACTGACAACAGATGCTACATTAGCAAATCAAAACATGTTAGACATACAAATTAGACAAAGGATTTTGCTGTGCTGGATAACTGATGTTTTTTAGCCTGACACAAGACCACGCAACCCAACGAATCATTCAACATAAAAAAACAAACAAACAAACAAACAAACAAAACAGATCTTAACCCTTTCATGCACGCTGTAACCTGATAACATGATTAACTGTCCACTGTAGTAACCGCTGTGCCTGCAAGGGTTAAATAAGACTATACATGGTGAATTTGCCTCAACAATTCTTGTGCAACATTGTCATTATTGCGCAATGGTTCATGTTGCTTCTGTCTCAGATTTTCCCACCTCAGATCTCAATTACCAGTTCAGATCTCAACAAGTCCCTATAACTGTATCGTGTCATCATCCTCGTAAGTTGTAAAAAAGTAATGAATTTATTTGACAAAGCAAGTAGCATAAAGCACAAATATGGGCTTCCAAGTCACTGATATTAGTGGATTCGTGTCTGTAAGTGTTCTATGATTGACAACCGGTATTTTGCCCGTCAGCGAGTCAGCTAGATAGGCTCCAACTCAAGAACAGGATAAGCAGCATAGAATGGAGAGGAATACTATAGAGCAGTAACGCGCAGTGAGATTGTCAGGGCGAGGCTCTGACTTTCAAGTCATATTTCCAAATTTATGAGTCAAACATGATTGATGCATATTGTCCATTGAATTAAGTGCCTGAAATGAAATGCAGGTGAAATGGTATTTTCTGGACTGATGTTTGAAGCAGATGTTACATTTTTAGTCTTCTTTTTTTTTTTTTTAAATTACCATGTATGCCATTTCGATTTGGTGGTGCACCATTGAGAATTTTTTGGATGGTTAGATGTAATATTTTCTGTGTTTGTCTTTCAGTGATGGATCACAATAGTTATTTTGAAAAAGCATTTAAAACCATAATTGCTTTAAATCAAAGAAAACTTGATTAAATGATTTTTTTGTGTTGCTTGGGGGGGGCCCTAGAAATCTCAAGGTCACAGGCAATTGCCTTAAGCCATTTCAAAACGCCTGCTACCGTATGCCAGGACTTTTAAAAAGGAAGGAAACAGTAGAATGCCGCTCCCTTAAATTCTTTATTAAATAGTAAGAGTTCATACATTAAAATGTACTTTTATAAATATACATTTGTGATGGTAAAAAAAAGAGGTACATTTTAATTAATACATGCAAAAAAACAACAACTATATTTATAAATCACAACGTATTTTCTCAGCCTTTACGATTCCAATCTATTTCATCAACACAAACAACTATTCCGTTGCATATTTCTGTTGGTATCCCATCGAGATCATTCGCATGAAAAAAAAGTGAAATAATTTAGAATTTCACCGGCATAGCTGGAGCGACACTGAAGTACTTGAAGAAATACTTCAGCAGCAGGACTTGCCAACAGCGTGAAGACAATGTGCTGTCACTCAGGTCAGCTCCTGTCAAACAAGAGACCCGTTTTCAATTGTTAATGTTTGAAGATCCAAATCACGTTGGTCATGTAAACAAATGGCCAATATGACGCAGTTAAGTGGCCCCTTACTTTGTGATCATACAGTTTGTTGCTTGCACGTAACTTCCCGTGTACCGGATGTCACACTTGGCCACGTTGTTGGAGAAATCTGACTCCTCGACAAGTTTATAGGGGTTCACTGTCACCTGAGAAAAATGTGGCAAAATTGCACTGAGCATACAAAATTTTACGTCTCGTTGCATTTGCATTACCTGGAGTGTGTAGTTTCCCGGTGGAACGTCAGTGATGTCGATCCATTGGCAGTCGATGTTGGCGTGGTAGGTGTCATAGCAACCGGGACTAAGCCCCTGACAGAAGTTAAAAAAAAAAAAAAGTACAGCTTGGTTTTGCGCATTATTGTTTATGACATTCTTCTAATTCCCCTGTGAGCAGACCTGTGTGTGAGCAGTACAGGCGAAGCGTCTCCGTACACCGCGGTCACATGATGTGTCCTCCAGACAGAAACTGGCCTTGTGGCCCTCGGCCACTTTGCGTCCATTGGAAGTATCCAGCAGGTCATAGTTGCTGAAGGCCTCCATGCTGTGGTAGTGCCTTCGGGGTAGAAAAGCCACAACAGACAGATGGAACCAAAGATCAATTGACAGGAACACAAAACGATAGGACTGGAATAATATGTACACTGGAAGGAATGAAGCAACATTAATTGAGCTTACAAAACAAGCCAACAAATAAACTTGAGTGGGGAAAAATGACAAGTAAAAAAAAAAAACTATCGAATTAACAGATGAAGGAACAAGGGGTGGGGTACAGCCAATCAGAGGGCACATTTAGTCCCCAAAAACATTCAGACTCACATTCACACCTATGGGCAAGTCTTCAATTAATCTAGCAAGCATGTTTTGAGGTTGTTGTAGGAAGCCACACAGGAAAACAGACAAGCCCCAGACCTTTGAGGCAGATATATAAAACAGCAGTCTACTGTGCAGCAGAGAACTGACCACAAAAAATTAATGGTCAATGAAAACCAATTCACAGCACAAAACAATTTCAGATTGAACAACAGTTTGAACAATAGTTCAATTTTACACTAAAAAGCAAACAGTAGGTATACCACACAATACATGAAATTCATATTCCAAATGAAGGAGCAATCAACGACCAAAACAACATACTGTAGAATAATAAAGACAAATGCACAATAAACAAAAAGTTCAATTTAAAAAAAAGACTGAATGATAGATTTGAACTTGCAAATAACAGAATGAACAAATGATACAAGGCAGGATAGCTCACACATACGAATCAAGAAATGTAACAAAAACAGTTTTTGGGTCTTTTTTTTTTTTCTCTTGTTTTGTGAAAAAAAAAAGATTGACCAAACAACCATGTAAGACAAAACAAACATAATTAAAGGTACCATGCCATCAAAATTCGATTTTTTTTTCCCACCGATTTATGCTTAACACAGGCTATAATGAGTCTGTGGCATGGTTAAGTTTGACATCCGTAGAGTTTGTCAATAATTTGCAATAGACGATAAAATATGACAAACAGCCGCCAAGACACACGAACACTACAAGTACACAAATACTGTATTGCGTTTGACAATAATACTTCAACATATTTATAATTTATAATGTATCTATGGATGAAATAGAAACGCTTGCATTCTCTTTCTCGCCATATGACACGAGAGCGATGCCCCGGGTACAATCAGTGAATGGGGTCGAAGCAAAACATCCACACTTTCTAGTTTTATTTTCGCCGATGTCTTCTTTCAGGATCAACCTGTATCCCTCTTGACTGTTACGCTATCTTTTTATCGTTCTTTAATTGTGATAAAGAACAATGCACTGGATGTGCACCAATGGCATCAAGTGATCGCCAACTAATTACCAATCAGAGGAAATCTGTTTTCTAACTTCAGTTTGAGGGCAACAACGATCCAGTAAGAGCAAAGCTCATTTACATCTCAAGGATTAATGAGAAATTGGCCCATTCAAGATGCCGGGCGTTTATGACCCACTTGCTGAAAAAAGGGTATCCTGGCTATTTCCAACCCAAATCATCTTTCAAACCCGATAAAAGGACATCAAAGGTGATTAAAAAAGAAATAGATTGGGGCATTGGACCTTTAATGTTTGACAAACTAACTATGAACAAACAAAGGAAACTACTGAACAGTAGCGAGAACAAAGTGAACTCGCAAACCTGATAAAAGGATATCAAAGGTGATTAAAAAAGAAATAGATTGGGGATTGGACCTTTAATGTTTGACAAACTATGAACAAACAAAAGAAACTACTGAACAGTAGCGAGAACAAAGTGAACTCACTGATGACAGCTGTGCCATTCCCACTTGTGTCTGGGCTTCTTTGGGAGGAAGTCCACTGTTCCCTGGTTCTTCACACGCTGGGGGAATCTCAGAAGAACCCTGTAATCCAGCTCGCTCACCCTCGGATGGTACGCAGACCTGCACGTCATAAAATGTCAGTAAATACATTGGTCTCATATGGTATAATGCACATGTTGCAGCTGTATGGGTGGGGTAGGGGGGTTGTGGACAAGTAGCCCAGATTTTATTGGATTACGGGCAATTGGCAAATACTGTGCAATGCACGGGTCATAATATTATATGCTTTTGCAGTTTTGCCCGCTGGTTTTATCTCAGGAGTCGTTTGTTTTACTTGGCAAAGAGATCTTTGGCATATGCCAGCTGCTGTGCCACTCAACCTCCAAGTGGGCAACAGCCCAGTAAACATCATAATGTGGTGCAACTCAAGGGGAAGACCATGCTTCCTTCCTTTTATCTGCATCAGCAGCATCAGACTTTATGACATGGTCTAAAGGGGCTAAAGTGCCAAATACCAGCGGTGGGATCATTTTGGCAAGCCAGTTTTCAGGTAATGTTTCTTATCACTGACTGTGATGCAACTGGTGTTGCTTTTCATTCTGGCCAAAAAGTAGTTCATCCTTAGTTTCATCAGATTACATCAGATTTGGGGAGATTATGGCCCAATGAAACCAGACTTTTTGGCCGTAATCCAAAAAGATGTGTTTTGGTACAAACACGTCACTGCTCATCGCCCCAAAGAAAATCATTCCTATAGAGAACCATTTTGATGGCAGCATTAGACAGTATGTGTATTTCCTCAGATGGAACTGTCAAGGTAGGGAGAATTATGAACAGTTTCAAATAAGAGTCACTGTTAAGAGAAAACTTTCAGACTTCTGCTAGAAAGCAAAACAAATATGAGGAAAAGTCCACTTGAATGGCTGAAATGTATTTTCTGTTCATCAGATATGTACTTTCAAAGTTGCCAGGTGTGTGCTGACTCTCATTTAACACGATTTTCGATGGGATTGGTGAATTTTGAACTCAGCCACGTGCCAGTTGTAAGAGGGTGTGCACACATATGCAACCACATTCTCATTCGTTTACTTTTTAAAAGCTGATAAAAAAATTCACTTGAGAGGTTAAAGGTCATATTATCGCTGGGAAACGTTTTGAAATGATTCCTTTGTCTCCTTTTGATTTAAGGTCACAAAAACGTGGCATTTGAAGTGGGGTGTGTAGACTTTTTATATGCACTCAATACTCATTTTAACATTTGACGATATCTTATACGAAGAGTGATGCGAGATTGCGATTTCTTTTTCCTAATGTGGGCATCTAATGTGCTCAATAGATAGCGGCCCAGATGAAATGCTCTCCCACACAATACATCACCCGCCGGCCGAAGGTTTAGTATCGAAAACAGATGTGCACCTGGACAGGCAATTCTCCTCAGCGGCACAGCGGAGTGCAAACATTTGCACTCGTTGGATGTAAGATGCAGCTTGGATGTAGTATGGGTCAGGAATCAAGTCTGGGAGACCTACAGAAAACAAAACATTAGCAATGTAAAGTACAGTATAATCTGTATAGTCCAGTCTGAAAATGTCCAAGCAGGAGGTAGAACATTGTATGTGGTGATTTGAAAACTCTGTTTATGGTTATTATCGTGGCAGGATGCTGGGTTGGCACGTCTGCCTCACAGTTCTGAGGTTCCGGGTTTGAATATCAGCTCAGGCCTTCCTTCACAGGAAAAAAATGTCTCTTGTGAGATATAGTCATATAGTGTTCCCTGGTTTTACTAGCACGTCCTTGTCTTTCTGATAGAGCGCAGAAATATCTACAGTGGAAATTATGTCACTAGTAAGACACTTCAGAGCATAGTCAGTCCTTCTATTACTGAGTCTCAGTCGTTCTACTGGTGCCCCCAATTTATTCTGCTATTGCGCCAAAACTTATGCTGAGTACAAAGCGAGTACTAATTGGACAGCAAAGTCATGCACTGCACGTTAGAATACTGAATAGATGCTCAAACAGCTTTAGAGTGTGTGTCGTACCGTTATGGAAGAAGCTGGTACCATGGCCCGGTCCTGGTAAAACCGGTCTCGTGGGGGCCCTGTTCCTTTGGTCCGGAGGGTAAACGTTGTAGAAAACAGAATTCCTGTGCTGGATATTGTGTGGATCCTGTTGTGGCTCATTTGTGTTATTGGTGGTGCGGACCGGATCGGTCCTCTGTTGCGTATAATGTACCTCGACCACATTTCTGGACAATATCGCAGGTGCGTCAGTCAGTTGCGGTTCAGCTCTGCGCTCCGTGTTCGGAGTTTGTGTCGTGTCCCTTTCATCATCACTGGCCACTGTGGACCGAGGCGTCGGTTGCGTGGGCGCGCCGGTGTCGTCCGAAGAGGAGCTTTGTCCTCCTCCGGAGAACTCCTGATTGGTGAAGGCCGCTGCATTGCGGGGTGACCAGGCTTGGTCCCTCGGAACCAAATTCGGCCCCGGGGAGGCAGTGTTGACATGACCCGGATCTGTGGATGTTCTTCTCGATGGCGGTGGGAGGTGAGCTCGGTTCATGGTGGTCAATAGAAGGTGGGTACGGCCTCTCAACTGCGCTGGTGCTCGGTATTGAGTGCCCGTGGTTAGTAAGCTGTACACCTGGCCGTTGTTCTCCCACTGGAACCTGTGCTTCCACGGGTGGAGTCGTGCGCGCGCAGGATGACGATGCTGCGCGCTACTCAGGCGCACCACAACATCCAGGAGGCAAAGCAGCAAGAAGGCGAATTTCTCCATCTTCGACTTCTTCTTCTGACTTTGAGGAGGTCCAGTACGGTGGTGCCCAAATGTGGAAGTGGGAGTGGGCTGCAGTAGACTCCTGTTATAAACACACAAGCCATTCCGTCACAGGTCCGTGACACATTTTGAGCAAATGTTTGTCTTGAGACTATTATGAGTCACTTGACAGCACACAGTCAACAAGTGCAGACCTCCACTAAGAAGGGTCAATGATTTAGGACAGGGAGTGGGCAAACTTTTCCTCAATGAAGGGGCCTCATTTTAAAAAGTGACAGGTGAGCCTGGTTAATTCATTGAGTAGGTTTAAAAAAAAAAAGAAGTAAATAAGTCAAATCGTTTATTTTAATAGTAAAAATCATAATTTTTTTAAAAATGTTATTTATAATTAAATGATTTGCACTTATTAACTCCCTTATTTAATGTGAATAGTTTTTTAATTGTTTATTTTAGTAAGATGGCAAATTTTATTCGTTACAGAATACAATTATATTAAATAAATCCAAACATTGAATAAACCATTTTAGGGGAAAACAGCATTTTTTATAGCTACAGTTTGTAATGTAAGAGGGCCTAGATTTTGTAAATGACAGCATACAGCCTCAACTCCGACATGTCTGTGGGGCAGCTTGACTGGCCTGAGAATAAACAAGACAAAGTTAGAAAAAAATAACACCAAGGAGGTTTAAAAAAAAGAAGTAAATAAGTCAAATTGTTTATTTTAATAGTAAAAATCATAATTTTTTAAAATGTTATTTATAATTAAATGATTTGCACTTATTAACTCCCTTATTTAATGTGAATAGTTTTTTAATTGTTTATTTTAGTAAGATGGCAAATTTTATTCGTTACAGAATACAATTATATTAAAAAAAATCCAAACATTGAATAAACCATTGTAGGGGAAAACAGCTATACTGCATTTGTATAGCTACAGTTTGTAATGCAAGAGGGCCTGGATTTTGTAAATGACAGCATACAGCCTCTTGTGCAATCAACTCCGACATGTCTGTTGGGGCAGCTTGACTGGCCTGAGAATAAACAAGACAAAGTTAGAAAAAAAATAACACCAAGCAAGAAGCTCTGATTAAACAACAGCGAGGAAATATCAAAGAAACTGACTACCTTGCATACTGTTAGCCACTTAGCCTAATAGCATAACTATCTAAGATGTTTTGACCAACTCTCACAAACCCTGGGACCCGTCTGTAATTACAAGGCATTGTCAAACCTTCATCAGTCGCATTTGACACACCCTGAACATGAGATATTCTGACAAACCTATCAGTCATGGATGTGATGATGACAAATTGGCGGTGGATTGACGCACTTTACAAAGAGAAAGAGACAACATCACAAGCACTGGTGGTTTCTGATATATGCATTATATGTGGCCTCACAGGGCGGCATTGCTGGCGGGGTGGGTTGAAACGTGCCCCAAAATAGAATAAAATTGCTATGAGTACTGGTTTTCTGGTCGTATGAATCACCCTTTAGCGTTTACATTGGCAATTTGCGCCCCCTTGTGGATGTATGATCTGAACAGAGATGCAGGGCAGGGGAGCAATAACAGATGAATGTAATGAGGGAGCAAAAAAAAATCATGCAAAGACATCCTAGCTTTGTGTGAGTTTGATCGCAGTGGAGAGAAAATTGAAGTGAAATTCTGCCCGATTAGCGTGCCTGTACCGCTTCAGCGGTCGTGTCCCTCAACATGCCACACGGTGGCAGTACACGCGCACTAAAATCAACACCAGCAGAGGGAGTCAAATGCTCATCGATATCCACTGCAAGACTCACTGTACCAATGATTGTCTTAGTGTTAATTATTCTGGTTCACTGTATCGTTCTGCCACTTTTTCTTATATTCTTACTAATTTGACAGTCATTAGTAGTACTAGTAATCCCACGCTTGCCTTTTCTATGGCACTTGCCCTAAAATGGAGTCCCGTTAAATGGACAAAGGTAGAGACGCGGTGGACACCATGGACAGTTGCCAGCCAATAGCAAGACACATGACAAAATAACCACTCAGACTTATCATCACAGCGGAAACCTGTGGGTTAACGACTTGTTCACCATCCTGCCGCATTAGAAATTATCCTTTGTAAATTGGAGAGGTCTGAATATTATGTAAAACCCCCAGGGTCTGTTCCTCCACCAGCACCACAAAAGCACATATCTAAATATATCAACACATGTGGTGGGTGCCAAGCACTCACAGCCTGTAAACAATTTGTAAATATAAATCCACAAAGTGTGAGCAACGCGAGTACTTGGACACGTCCAACCATGGTTGAATCACAAGGTTCAGACAGGCAGTGGTCTCGTGGCCGTCTGTGACCACATGAGCATGATTCCTCCACTATATCGGGATGCTTCTCATTGTCCCATCTTGTACTCAGACTTACCTCATAAACTCCTGGCAGACGTGGTGTCTCCTGGCACGTCCCACACGGGGCAATGCGATCCCATCAATGAGCGATGCTCAAACTCGCTTCGGAGAGTGAAATGTCAGACTTATAAAAAGGTCAAATGGAAACTACATCGATTCCGAAACCTTCTCCCGGTCATTAAGGTGTTCACTGGCAAACTCAAAGGGGAATTAAACATGTTCTTTCGAATAATACGTTCAAAGCACCCCCACTAATGTAAACACAGGAATTACGGACTGGTTAGCATATCCACCTGAGAGTTCTAGGGTCACTGGTTCAAATACAGGCTCCATATTCTCTCCATGGCTGCAAGTGCTGATTGTTTATGTTCCCAAAAAGTGAGTTCAAATGACCATCCATCGTAGACATACATAGTACATACGGATAAACTACATTCTTGAGATATTAATGTTGTACCTCTTTATGAATGTGCTTTCGTCTGAGGGTCAACTCACTGTGGTGTACTATTCAATGAAAGTGTCTAGACTGGATTTGTTTTCACTGCATAAAGCAGCTTGCGATAATGTAGCCATTGTGTTCACATTATCTTATATTAATTTGACATGTCTACTCTATTCAGTGACTGACACGCATAGGCTGCGCCCTTGATGACTTTACTTTGTTTGAGTTTACTTGATGAGGAGATTTTAAAAGTGAGCATATGCTCGCCTGCAGGTCAGACTCACTCACTCTGCTGTCACTTTTAGCACCGGGAAGCCAAGCCAGCGCCTTTTCCGACCGCGTCCACCTGTTAGGGCGTCACAACAATCCCCTTGTCACTCCATTTCCACAAGACATGCATGTGTCACATTGCGCCAAGCCACAACTGATGTCAGAAATACTGTTTCAATAATGAGTGACGATAATAAACACAGCTATGACATGTACTTGAGGTGAGCTGCTGCATTTGGCAGAGGCGTAGTTCATTCAATATGTGACATAAGCGATGGAAAGTTGCACGACATTCACGCTATGGCAACTTCTCTTGGCAGCATGCTCACAGGAACACTGGCATGGACACAGGAGTTCAGAACATTCAAATTCTTCCATTCCATTAAATATATTTTAAGTCAGCTTGGCTTATAGATCACTTTGACAAAGCAATTGATCTTTAACTTGACTCATGTTTTTAGCCAAACACCCATCACTAATGACTACAATGGCTTGGTTTATTTTTTTTTTTAACATTTTAAAATCATTTAAATTTGTTAATTAGTACTCTATGTGCATATGCTGTAAATATGAATGTAAAAACAACCTTTGATATTAATTTTGAGTGTATTTTTCAATGTACATATTTATATACAAAATTAATCCAGGCGCTTCTGAGTAAAATATATTGTAAAACAGTTTGTTTGCTTCAGCAGTTACATTCAAAAAGTGAAACACACATACTGTAGATTCAGTGAACACATTTCAGAGGACCAATACAAATCACATTTTATTAAATAATTTTTTATGGCTTTATTTCTTATGTAATTTCCTAAATTCTCAAGATGGCAAATTTTTCTTTGCGGAAAACTATGACAATCATGTTATTAAAACAATGTTGTGAATATATGCATATACTGCACAGATTCTCTCTCTCTCATTGTGAGAAATAATTTACATGAACAGCATCTATTTGCACGAGCACTATTTCGACCACGAAACTCATTTCCCATCTCAGGGCTCCATATTACAATATCATGTCCTTATGTTACACTAATTACATTTCAAGTTTTTCCATGTTGCAATGACTCAGTGTCGTGTCAGACCATGCTCTATATTTAGCAGCATGAGGCAGGCGCTGTGTTGACCTTAAGAATAGAAAATTAAGAGATTTTCAGAAGGGATACATGAGGTGATTGTGGCCTAGTTTTGTGTACAATGCCCGCACGGGACTTGTAACCGCACGTGTAGTGATCCGGTGCTAATATGCTAAATCTCGAGGGCTCACTTGTGACGTAGTCTGGAATGCCACAAGAGGTACAACAGGGTGGCATTTCAGAACGGGAATTAAAAAGGACTGATCCATCCAAGTGAGCAGGCAAAGCTCTCAAAACATACCAGAAGTCAATGTACAAGAAAGGAAAACGGCAACAACTTCATTTCAGCAAGGCTATAATAGGAACGCTATCATTGGGATACAGGAATGACCCCGATTCCCCTAACCATGAGAGAAATAGGACACTCTCTTTAAATCACCTTTTAACAGTTCCTTCAAATATGATTTTTAACCCTTTCATGCACCCTGTAACCTGATATAGGCTGTCCACTGCAGTAACCTCTGTCCCTGAAAAAAAACTTCGATATTACTGATAAATGGTTAAGCCAATGAGAAACTACTGTATGATGCAAAACCTGGTTGCAAGTTATCGTATGCAACTAAAAACGAAACCCACAATTTTCAGTCGTAATGTGTTCCTTGATGTTTAAAAAAAGGTGAATTTTATTAGTGCTATTTAAGATAAAAGAATGACAATGCTTGATAATCTCAACATGAATACATGTTTATTGGTAGAAGAAAAATGTGACTGGCTTGTAAAGGGTCCGGTATGAATAACAGCAAAAAAAAATCAGTTCATCAAGAAAAAAATCACTGATAAGTTAAAATGAATTAATTGCATTAAAAAACAAACAAACAATAAAGCTATTAAAAAAATTTAAATATTTGGAGCTATTTACAAGTCTTTGTACAGCACTGGAGTGCTGTCTTCATGCTGCAAGAAAACACAAAAACAGAATGTTTCAGTTTGCAATGTAAAACCGTTTTAAAATTTTATCCATCTCCCATTGACTTCTTTGGTTGATGCTAGAACCAACCAGAGTTGGTGCACTCACCTATAAACGATTAAGCAGGTTGTTTTGAATGTCCTCATACACTTGGTTGTAGACCTCTTCTTTAGATTTCAAGCCATCCAGGTATTCTGTGAACCAAAGACAACCCACCTTTAAAATAAAAGTAATGAGGGTGGGGTGGAAGAGCATCCTTGCTAGATTTACCAATATCTAAGCAGCTGTCTTCCATCTCTCTGCGGTGCTTGAGGTACATTGGCCAAACATGTCCATCAAACAGGCCAGGAGGATCTGGAACCGTGTATTGTCTTGTACTGAAAACAAAAATATACTTTACTTTCGGACAAGTGGCATTTATTGGGAAATGATTGCGACAGAAATTGAATTCAGAATTTGAATGTGAAAAAAAAAAACTAGCTACCTTCTCCTCCTCTTGCACTCTTCATAGGGAATAGAGATGTAATAGCACTTGTCAAAAACGTCCAGCAGCTGTCTGCAGGGGCACACGTGGAAAGGTGATTAACAACACTGACGCATGTGAGAAGCGCCCATGTGTCTGCACTGCTTATCGTTGGATTCGTATTGAACACAGTCAGGTTCTTTCAGCTGAACTGCTTATCTCCAGCTGCAGGAGCGCAGATACTAGATGTGCACAGACAGATTTAAAATCAACCACGTGACACCACCAGCCTCCTCATCCTAAGGTCATTTATCTACTGAGGTAAATAAGCACAACACTTCAATGACCTCTCTGTGACAAATTTATGTCTTAATACGAGTGATAGTCCCACTACCATGTGGCGGAATAGATGTTATAAACACTGCTTATGTAAAGCTGATGTTTAGAAATTGCAGTAATTCCCCATGAATACCATAAGTGCACATCTAAAAATGGCGATGACCCCCGAACATACAAAGCTTGTCTTTTGATTGAGATGTGTCACTTGCACAATTCGGCAACAACTCGTTTTAATTCAATCTGCGACTCACTTGATAAATCGGGGCAATGTTTGCCATTGAAATGAATGGTGAACATAAAACGTGCCGTGTGATCACACAGCGGCATGTTGCATACAAGAAGGAAATTTATTTAGACCGCGAAGCCTTGCTCACGTACCGCGGCCAAAAGGTGCAACCTCTCATTGTGTGGCCCCGTTTGCTTGCCACGTGACGCATGGAGCTATTGTTGTTTCAGCACAAATACAACTGATGTTTATTCCCGTGCATGCCAAGACTGTTTTCAAATGCAAAATAGTTCAGTAACAGAGGCAATTTCTGTCGAAAAATTTTGTGCGCAAACCAAATTGTTCTTAAACTATGTCATTCATAAACTGAAGTTCCATAGTAGTTACTTGGCACCAGGATGTTATAAGATGGCACCAAACCCCCATCTAGTGTCTACTTATTACTCAGAGCAAATCCAATCAATGGGGTTTTTAGCAAATAACAGGAGGATAGATAGATTCAATAAAGCTCATCTCAATTGATACTTACGGGTCATTGTAGAGTAGGAAGCCCTCCACAATCAGAATGTGGATCTGCTCATCGGGGTCGGCCACATTTGAGGAAGACGACGACGGGACACCATGCGAACGGGCAAACTTCACTGGATTCTCTATCCAGCCTTTGACGGTGTTGGTCATGGCCTCCATGTCCAAAGCTGTGATCACTGCAGAACAACATTGCAGAAACAGAAACAGTACATGAGCAAAGACGAAACAAGAATTGTAGAGTAAGGGTAATTGTTTTTGACCTGTCCAAACGAGTGGACTCAATTAGAGGTTTAACAATATAAAGTCGTAAGGGGCTGGCACTCTTCGGTGAGGTCTTACCATCCCATTGTTTAAAGCCGTCCTCCCCGACTTCTATCTGATCGGGTTTCTGAAATAACAGTCACCAAATAAAATATTTGCTGCAACCTCACATCCATCTAAACACTTGAAGGGGGTGGGGAGTGTGTCAAGAGATGAAGGAGATGATGTTGGCCATTATTTCAATTTAGTTCATTGAGTACAGTGTTCCCTCACTATATTGCAGTTCGTGTTATGTAGTATACAGGCAAGTCCGAACTTCAGTTCAGAGCAGCACTGAGGTTAACTAGAAGAGATGTAATAGTTCAAAACTAGAAACAGGAATCATGTAATACAGTAACATAATTTGCCATTTTAATATTTGTTGCTCCCACTCAGCAGAGAAAAAAAAATACCTTACTAAAATAATGGCCCGAGTCATTTTCCCCCCCAGGAAAAAAAAAAAAAAACCCTGAACCAAATGTGTTTTATATTTATTAATAATCTCATTTCAGGGACAGAATTGATTGATCTGTTTCACCATGGATGTAGCCGATTTTAGCAGAGGTGGCTGGCATCATGAGATGTTTAAGGCAAAGAAAATAAATACATTGGTATGACTGAGGCCATTATTTTGACAATGTGATGATATGTGCCTTTGAGTATTGTTGTACGCTCGGTTTTTAAGTGTTGCTGCATGCAAGGAAAAGTTTACAAAGTGAATACATTTAAATGTGTTAAAAACGTGGGAAGGATAAAATAATACAAATAAAGCACATTATCTCTACTTCATGAATTTTCATGTATTGCAGGTGGTTCTGAACATTTATCCCCGCGATAAATGGGGCTTCACTGTACAGTACAGCTGACAGAAGAAGTACAGTATGGCTAAAGCACTTACAAAGATAAGCAGATGGGAGCATGACTATGGGTCGGGGTGTTGTGGAAGGAGCTTGAAATACTTTGTTTGCATGTAGGCTACATTCAACTGATGAAAAGTGATGGGGGAGGGGGAGGAGAAAGGAAAAACCCTAAATCAAATTTTACTTGCTAACACTCACCTTGTAAAAGTCATCCTGGTGCACGACACAACAGTTAGGCAACGCCTTGATCAACTTATTAGTCAATGTCGTTTTGCCACCATTAGTGACTCTGCAAAACAGAAGAAGAGGCGCAACCATATAAAACTGGAAAAATGTTTTAATGCAGTCACTTTGTACTGCCAGACAAAATTTAAGCATTAAATGATTCAAAGTGGCCGACAGTAATATGCCATTTGAACGAGAAGATGTTAAAGGTGAGCATGTGCCATGATGCGACTAAAGGGAGGTGCATCGCAATAAATGAAAAACTTGAGCGGGACATTTGAAATTTTACCATGCGAGCCTTCTCAAAAATGGAGGGAAATTTAAACAAGCATTAACCAAAACCATAAAGAGCAGTAAATGTATAAGCGTTTTAAATGTTTCAAAAAAACTGTCATTTATTCCCATTTTATGTAAACTGCAAACGCATTTAGTTTCACTATGCTTTTAGCTAGGGTCTCGTCTTGTGGTAGCACAATGCTACACCACACGAGGCACAGTGTTTACAGGTGCAGCTCATTCTAGTTAAATATTTCAGAAGAGCTCGTTTATTTCAGTTGTTCGAGGCAAATCAAATTAGGTAGGAACTGTCCTTCTAAAAAAACATTTAGTGTTCATGTTTTCCATCATCTTTGAGCAGGGAAATTTGCTTTTTTTCCATTAAAACCCCCCCCCCCAAAAAACATAGAAAAGGAAGTTTTAAAGTGGCCTCAACTTTGAGAAAGTAGCGTATATAATAGTCGACATTATTTATTGTTCTCATTGAATTACAGTGCTAAATTTACTTGGGGCCACGTGTGATGCCGCGTTCTACAAGCAGCACGACTAAACAAGGGAACACCTAAAACGTTTAAACGCACACATGTTTGTAGTAAATGTGGGGGAAAAAAAGACGTGTCAGCCATGTGAAAGGATCGAGTAGCACGACTAAACAAGGGAACACCTAAAACATTTAAACGCACACATGTTTGTAGTAAATGTGGGGAAAAAAAGACGTGTCAGCCATGTGAAAGGATCAATGGTGATACGTCTGAGCCGTTTGGTCGGAGCTCGTGTTTTGAATCTCCCTCCATTTTAGGGTGAAGTCTCGCGGTACTTTTGAAATGTCCCGCTCAATTCAATTGGACGCCGGACGTTAACACTTCAAGAGTCACGGAGTCGGTCACCAAATGCACACATCACATCGTACTAAAAACCGTTTTTGTGTAGTCTCACTGCAGTTTTTAACTAACTGTATGTCATTTTGTTGTAATGTAAGCGAGACGCAGGTTAAGTAGTTAAATAGTGCAACTAGCAAACAAGGTTTGGGTTACAGTTCCAAAGACTTACCCCCCAATTCCTATAACGTATTTCATCTTTTCCTCTCTTCTCAATGGTTCTTCTCAAATGAAGAAAGACAAAGTGCCGCTATTTCTAAAAACAAAAACTCCAAGAGGTACTCTACCACCTACTACGACTTCATTCATTGAAAGTGAGCGTGAGCCATAGGAATTTATAGCTTCTCGAAGACGCTGACGTCACATTATACGCTGCGTACGTCAGCACCCCTCGTCGGCCAATCAGATGACTCTAAGAAGGAATCTCTAGCCAATCAAAACCTGCAAATTCTCCCGTATTTCCGTATTGCTCTGCACCTGTTTATATCGATCATTCTCTCTCGGTTCTGTAATATTCCTCTCCATCTGCTCACTACAGCCCCGTTGACGTTTCAGCTGTGGAAAACTCCCTTCAGTTAAATTAAGTTGTAACATTATTTACAACAGAATTTTTGGGGGGACCTATTTATCCATAAACTTGACATTTTAAACATTACTATGGAAAACTAAAAGTTGTCATTTTTCCTTTATTCAAAACTAGAAATTATGGCAATAACCACCAGTCAAGTCTGACACTTTATTTATTAAAAGAACAAATTGATTTGACTTTAGATCCATTCAAACACTCGAGTAGTTCATTGTAACAAATAATATTTTTTCTCAGTTAAATTGAAATGAATCATAGCAAAACAATAGCACACCATATATTGGAATGCTTGGATCGTTTTATTTTGACCCGTTGATACAGAATGCCTATATTAACAAAAGGTAATGCTGAAGTCATTTATAAAATTGACAGAAAGAGGTCAAAATAGGTGGGAGTATAGGACAAACCATTAAAATTTACAGATCGTTCTCCTATCTTAGCTTTTACCTCTCACTTTTGAGCAGAAGTTTGCTTCCTCCCTTTAGCATGTCTCTATTTGTGTCTGTGTGTGAATTCTGTCACAATCATGGGGCTAAGGGGGTCTGCTGTTGGGGCCTCTCCCTCAAGAGAGTGCTGAGAGAAGGGTGTGATGTGTGTATCATATAACCATGTGATGTCACAGGACTCCCTGTTATCTAAGATCCACATGGGTCTTGTCAGGTGAAATAAAAAAAGTCCCAAAATTAAGCCTTGGTTGAAGTTTATGTCATCAGTTTTACCCCGGTATACACCTTGTTATTTCATGCCATAGTTCCTGAATAAATTTCACTCTGGATTGTCATGTTAAGATGAAGTATATCTACAAGCAAAATACCAACTAGATTTTAGGGAGGGATTATTTATTCAGTTCTATTTACAAAGCAGAGTTAATCATCTAACTATATGTCTGAAGAACAACAAAAACAATCCGTTGTATCGCAATCAAAACAGCAAAAAATAAAGAAATAATTAAAACAGCCAGCGTCTGTGTGACTATTTTGTGCTTTTATGATCAAAAGGAAAATCATTTTGGAAAGTTGTGAGTTCATGTTTGTCGACACAGCATTGCAATAACAGCACAGAATTTGGCGACATGTGACAAGTCTGTATGACCAATTGTCATATTTCATCATTTTTATCAATGACTTCAACATGAGACACTAAACAAAACAAAATAAAGATCATCAGGCTTGGTAGATGATTTCAAGAGAACTTTCAACTTCTATGAATAGTCACAAAACATCAAATTAATTGAGAAATTAAAAGTAACAAATAACTTTTGTCATATTTCTACGCATTTCAAGTTAATACTAATAAAACAAAATACATTTCGAAGGCCATCCCATTACCAAACAAATCACACAATTCCAAATATTGAAAGCAATACAATGATGCACGTTTAATAGAAAAATAATTTATGGCATTTTGTACTGCCACTACCATATAACTGTTGCATCAATGGAAGACAAGAAAGGGAGGGCAAAAGGAAAACCAATAGCTCTCCACAAAAAGGGATATTTGAGAAAGGTTCAGACTATCCGGACCAGTATTCCAATGTAATTTCTGTGTTAAACTGACAAAATGCACTTATGCCTTTTAATTTGCATTTCTAAAAATAAAAGCGCGCAAAACGTGTCTGTGCTTTGAAGAGTAGTGCAAATAGTACAGTATGTAAAATACAATCAACCAAAACGAGCAAAACTAAGTGATACAGAAACGAATCTATTTTATGTTCAATCTATTTGTATGATCGTAAACATGCTAGAAAGAAGAAGGGAAGCACTAATTCATTCATGTTTTTAAATCACCTTTGACGTGTATGATTTACCAATACGGAGAAAGTACAATGAAGGATTTAAAACAGTTTGTTCATTACCTCTAGCAGGGAGTTTGTTATTATTTTCAGTTATGTTTGTTTGCATTTCAGCAGGATTATGCAAAACGATTGTTCAGCCTTGGTTTGCGGTTATTTGTATCTTAAGTCAAAAGGGGGTAAATATATAGAAAATTGATATGAGCGTGCATGGGCAAATAGTTCACATACATCTGCTTTTTAAACTCAGGCGATAGAGGCACATGGTAAAGTGTAAAAGTAGAGATGGAGGTCATAGAGAATGACCTGGTCGGTGCATCATGGACATTCTCGATTCTCTGGTCAGTAGAGCAAATGAGAGAGCTTGAAAGGCTTTATGAAATCACAACATGGAGCAGAATCAAATAATGTATTGCAGTATTTACACCCAAAACACTTTTTACCCAGCCGCTCTTCCATCCATCTGGTTTTACTTTCTGATTGGGCCTATGATAAACAGACCCTCACTTCTCTCATTTGTGCAATTTTTTACCGGGATGTGGAGAGGGAGAAATCCTTTTCTCAGTCTTCCAGTGACACATGGAGGACAAACGTTCAACGTGAGTCGCTCAAAGATTAAAGTGCAAAAGTTCACCAGTAAAGTCCAAGGGAAGCTCCTTTGCAAATGTCACATTAACCCGTCTCATCAGAAAGGGGAAAAAGATGGGATGGCGCATTTGCCACTGCAATGTGTTCGAAAGATGATGAGCGCACAAGGAAGCACACGGAGTCTTTGCGGCTTTGATGAATAGATTGATGCTCCAAGTGGCACACTGCAGCAAAAGAACGTGTGAAGGAATTAAACAGAAGTGCAAAAAAAAAAAAAAAAGAAAAACTTTTTACTGCATTAATGTGAACGAGCAACCTATTTTTTCTCTGATGACATTTGTCAGGTATACTTCAACGTAATGTGAGAATTACTGTACATATTTTGAGACAATTAATTTGTTGCATCAGCATAAGAGTAGAGATGACAGGACAATTTCATGTGAGCCAACACAAAATGATGTTTGAAAAGTTCTGCTTTAATGAGGATCATGTTTTCATGTGTACTGTTGGCTCTTTGCATTGTTGTAGAATTTCATCTATTCAATCTAAACAAAAATACTAGAAACACATAATACCACAACACGAAACATATTGTCAAAATAATACCACTCCGATTGTTTTAACGAAATTATCTTGGTTTAAAAATGTTTTGATGCAGCTGTTGTATTGGATTTTATATTGTATCAAATCCAAATCAAATCAAATCCATTCCAAATGCATGGTCCACCATCAATGTCATATTACCTTTTTAATGAGAGAATTCTTCCCTTTTCATAGTCCCTGCTCTACAATCATTGACTTTGGCCTGGAAAGAGTGGATGTTTTTAAAAATTTATAAAAATAGCATTCAATAATTGAAAATGTACAGCCACTGGAAAACACTTCGATACCAGTACCTGTCTGACTTTTTCTTGACTGGTTCTACCCGCTGCCTCTCCTCTTGCTCCATCCTACACACATTAAAAATAACCTGAAGTAATACTGTAGTATGCGTGAAGGAATAAAGTGAGAGATCAATAATTACGACTAAAACCTCACCTCTCCCTGCGAGCTTTAATCCTCTCCTCGTCAAACCTGCAATGAATCAAAATGTCTTATGTTTATATTTAATCCTGCCAGGAATGTTTAAAAATGACGAATAAGAAAATATAAGACTGTAACGGCTAGAAAATTGGAAATCAGATCTACGGCTCTTTTTCTCTTCTTAGTGTAGAATAACTTACTGCATAACACATTCTGGTACATGTACGTGCTCCATAGGGACCATTAGGGAAAGTTCATCCAGGCTGTGAACATACTGGATCTTATTCATGAACTTCACACTGTAAATGGCAGCAAGAGAATTACAGTCAATACACTAATGGCATATAAAGTACTAAGGCTCTCAGATTTTTACCAATATAGCTTGATATGCATTTAACCGGATCCCCTACATACCACTAAAAGCCCCCACCTAATGTGTCTGTACAAGAATGTAACAAAAATACCTTTCGAAATGGTAGCATTAACTTTGAGTCCATATTGGCTTGCTTGCGGGTCTCACCTGATAAAGGGCCTGGAAATTGCCAGCACAGTGCGTATGAACCAAGTAGGATGAGCAATGACCAGAGACTTCAAGTTCTTCCTCAACCTGGTATCAAAACACAGAAAAAAAAAAAGACTCAAATATCTTACCGTTCTGTTTGAATGGACAAAGTTAGTAGGTATTCACCGAAAGACAACAACAGTTGTGAGTGCAACTAAATAGTTGAGTTCACATCGTAACTGTTAAGTGTTATGATCTGTGTTTTTGTTGTTTGGCTTGTATTTGGTTTTGCCTCATGTTGACTTGTTTTTCGATTTATTTAATTTTATTTTTTTGTGGTTCATGTATTGTCTGGGTCGTTAGAGTTTTTGTTTCCAGCTGTCCAGATGCTCCTCGTTGTCTTGTCAGTTTTATTGTATTTAGTACCCTGGTTTCTTTTGGTCTTTTTAGTTCATGTTTGCTGTTTCTGTGAGTTATTTTTGTTGTTTCCTTTTGTGGTTAGTTTTGGTTGTTACTTTGAATCTTATTTGTGGATTTTAGTAGTTTAGTTTTTGATTCCTCCCAGTACCCCGTGTCTTTTTGTGCTTTTAAAATTGAATCCCTTTTCAAGAGCACTCCTGCCTTGCCTCCCTGCTTCTCGGCATTTGGCTCCCAACCATGCAAAAACCCTATTAACAAGAATGGACCGACAAAAGCAGAAAGAAACCAGGGAACTACTATTTACAAGCAAACTCGAGAAGCACCTGGACAAGACGTTTGTCTACACACATTTGCCACGTTAATTAATATTTCAAAGTCTCTTTCCCACCTTCTGTCAATCATCTGGTAGCATTTCTTGAGCCAGCCGATTCCGGGCATCTTACTCCTGGGTGTGGCTCCATTCATGTAGATGATCAGGTAGTCTTCAGCTACGAGCATCTCAAGACTGCTCACCACATACCTAAAGGAGCAGGCGAGGGTGACTCTTTTTGTTTAGTATTGACTATTATAATATCATCTTCTATAACTTGTTGTGGACTCACAGGAAGAGGTTTTCCATAACGTAGTGGTACTCTGGGATGCTGCTGTCAGGCAGGTAGCATGCAGAAAATACAATGATGGCGTTCAGGCCTTCCCCAAAATAACCTGAGGAGAGGGTTTGGGTTTGAAAAAAAAAAAATTAAAAACATTAAGTACAAAACTGATGACTCACTAAACATTCCCCACTCCACTCTCACTAACCTCCATGTGAGATGACTCTTTGGTAGGGTCGGATGATCTGCATGTCAATCCTGTGCTCCTGTTCTCCAATGATCACCGTCCTCCACAGACGTCCGTTGTTGGCGTTTCCTTCCTCGTCCAAGTCTCCTGTACCACCAGTCGGACCCGCTTTGGCTGAGGCCACTGGAGTGTCATCTGGAATGACACAATGATATGTCTTGTTTATTGCATTTTTTTTTTTTTTTTTTAGAAGAATATAGTTTCACAGACACGATCAAGATAAATGAGAATAGGGTTGAGTTGGGTTTTTTTGTAAATCAAGTGGAAGAAACACTCTAACTTCATACAGCAAACCCCAACCCCTAGGCCTAGGCCACCGCGCTGGTTTGAGGTTACGAAAAACGATTTTCAAGACAGTCACCAGGTTTTCCTCCTACCTTCCCACTCCAGGTCATTGCCATTGGTGATAAATTCGAGCGAGTCCGTCTCATCTGGCGTTTCGATGTCATCCACGTTGATGTCCAGGTCGTCGGGTGTGTCCAGAAAGTCATCCGACAGCAGGGATCCCTCGCTTTTATCCAGGGACAGAGTCATCTCCGGGGCAACCAATGTACGCCGTGTACGGTGCGAGGACGATACACCTGCGCCTCCTCCAGGTGGGCTCATATTCATGGAGTTGGGAGGGGCTAGGAAGTGAAAAGGAGAGTTGATGCAAGCCTTTTTCCAAAAATGGGCAATCAAGAGGTCCTCAATGAATTGTCTTACCTGTTCTGTTGTCTGTGAGGCCACATGTAGGGTCCATGTCTCCGTACTCAGGTAAAAGTCTGAATGACAAATAACGTTAATGTATAAAACTCAAGTAACATTCAGCATGGTTGTACCTTCTGATGACAAAGAAATAAAAACATTAGTTGCAAACAAAACAAATGGCCTTCAGTTTTGTTTGAAATTGTTGGAGCGATAATAGGTTATCAATATGTTTACTCACATCTGTGGGAAGCTACAGTGGAGTAGAACTGTACTGCATCACACTGAGATGTGATTTTTTTTTTTTTCTTGTTCTTTGGTGTACTACGTAAACCTCCACCAATGCCCCAAAATGCTAGTTTGGATCAGCACCAAAGTATAAGCCTTCAAAGATACCTCTCTGCTCCACATGGCGGGATTTTCAAAAGAACATTTTGCAAATTCATTGACAAACGAAGGAAAATACTGCAAGGCATTGCAGTGAGACCACATTAAAATGATCCAGCCTACTCTGCTTAATAGGTCCTCCCTTTGACCATGTCCAACACCTGCACGAAGTTCAATTAAGCAGTTTTGTGTTACAGTATCCTTCCCAGTCACACACGGCAATGAAAACAACCGCCTTGACAGACGTAATGAATACCACACTCATAGTGACTATCAATATTGAGCATTAAGGTCTTGAAAATAGCACAACTTTTGCATTTGTATATAGCTCTCAATTAACTGTGCTTGTGTACCTAATATTGTGCCCAGTGTGTGCATACACTGTACTCTGTGTATCCCGTCCACTGTATGAGAGAATACCAAAAATTTCCTCACACAAAAGCATGGTAGATTATTCCAATTAGTATAATGTCCAATGGACCATTTAAAACAATAGTTTGGCCACTAATCCATCTTAACACAGAAAATGGGAGCGCGAAGAAGAGGATGGTAATTAACTTCTCTCTGGGGACAGATGAAGATTACAAGGCTGCCAGGCAACATGAGGCAGAGCAGAGGAGGGGGAGAAAGAAAAGGGAGGACAGAAAATGCGGTTCAAGGGGAAGAAAACATTGAGTGCAACCCAAAATGCTTTGCTTGTGCGTACTGTGAGTACGCAGAACCAGATGGACCATTTCATCATTTGTAAACAATGCAAAATATGAACACAGACTCTGTGCCAGTGATGCAGGGAGCTATACTGCAGTCTGTCTCAGCAGCTGAGGTGGCATCAGCACGTCTCCACGTGCTGCACTCCTGCGTATGCTTCATCATCCCTTTTGCAGGAGAATGGTGAGCACCTCCCTCTGGGCCACTGATAAACAACCTCAGCATCCCCTTCCCCCTTTGTAAAATGAGCCCTCTTTTTTATATCTCTATATATAT